AAAATTCAGCACAACTGTTTTTATTTTGTCATAGTTTATAAATAGTGTTATGTCGAATTGTTGTAACATTTTGTGTGCAAAGTCGGCAACATATCTAAACTTAGTCGGCTATAAACAAAATAAAAACACCATATTTGACAGCGCCCTCTTGCGCTGTACGGTGAACTTTAGTTTGTAAGCTTTTTATATATAAAAAAAAGTTATGTTTCAAATACAAACCAGTCGCCAATTAACTTGATCTAATAATGTATACAAGTATGTTATGTATACGGTTCTTTTGTTTTACTTTTACACCTATTGTAGGCATACAAAACAGGTGATAGTCATAACAATTATAATAATGAGATCCCTCGTCCAAAAAAATTGTATAGCATCACAAACTTAACAGTTAATATTAAAATAACGAATAACGTTAAGTATATTTTTCGTAAGTCATAAAATGAAAAGGTATTACATTGATGTTCTGTTTATGTAGCTCTGTTTCATTAAGGCATACCGGCTGGTCACCGTTTGTGTCGTTATGTAAAGTACAATAAGATCGAAAATGAGAATAAGCTTTTCTTATTTTCGGTCGATGGTTGAAATTCTTATAATTTTTAACGTCGTGTGTTTTTAGAAGCTAACGTTGGTTGACGTACACATTTTCGAGTGCATATATTACGTTATAATTTTATTGTAAATTAACGCTGTTAAAACGTCTAAAGAAGGTAGCAAAAATGGCACATTGATTGCCGATTAGTTAGATTTGAAATTCAATGGTTAGAGAATCTGATGCTAAATAAAACTTCGTGCACCACTGACCAATGTGTGCATAACAACCCTTGATATATCATTAGTCGTTTATTTACCAGAGAACCTGTAAAAAATCAGACAGATATTGGGTCGCAGCCAAGTGGTATAATCTGCCGACCAATCAATCCGGCAACTTTCTATTATAGAAAATTGCCGGATCTTTCCCACGGGATATTAAAAGCGATGCAAACGCCGTTGTTAAAATGAAACACTGCTATTCCAAATCGATTATTATTGTATGGTTTTAAATATTTATGAAATCCCCTGAAAGAGATAAAACTGATATAAATAGCAATTCGATCCTTATCCCCTTTATTTTTAGGTGTAGGTACTATATTTTTCTGCAGATTGTACGACGTAATATATGACTACACTAATAGATAAGCCATCTACGCAGTAGTTAGTGCCACCTCGCAATTATGTAGTACCATGTTTAGGATATGAATTTATTATACTATATACATTTACTTTTATTCCAGTTAGTTAAGTCACGTTGAGTTTAAACACTAAGCGTAAAATATAGACGGGTACGGAATAAGAGGATAGTCTTAATGGTTACTATGTAGTAGAATGTTGTACAATCTCCTTTTTTAATATGCAGTACGTTTTGCTGTCGAGGCGGTTTTGTATATTTTTATACCGATCTATAGAAAAAATATGGGGAAACGTAACAAGGTCACAAAGCTGGTTTATGTTAACCAAACAATACAGTGGTTTGTTAAAAAAATGTATTTCTTATTTTTTTTTAACTTCTATATTTGATCGATTTCACCTTTAATCTAAACAAATACATACAGGTTTTGAAATAACACAGACAAAAATATAATTACTTTTCTTTTTCTGTGATAAGTATGTATATTTGTTATAATTATGTTATATTTCTGATACTATTCTTTTTATTGGTCCCACTGAGAACCTATTAAATGATTTAAATTTATTTATTTTAAAATTACAAACAGCAAAGCATATTTTAAAAGGAGTTAACGGCTTCATTTACATTGGTCAGACTTGTATTATGCGACATCGAAAGCTAGTGTGAATGCGGCCTTATAAGCGTATAAAATTATACAAATTACAAAACTCCGTATGATTATCATGATCATGACAAGAGGAGTTTTTTTTATGAAATCTATACTAGTCCGATTGCAAGTTAAAACACAGTTTTGCATTAAAATGTTCCTGTAAACGGCGTTAATAGTGGTTTTTATAAGGTTTATTTATAAGCTAAACTATGTAGGTAATGTCTAGATCATTTTAAATGTAATATGGATTGGTATTAATGCCGTATTTGTATTGTACGATTGAAGTGGACACGCTTTGCTGCGAGAGCTTATCGGATGTGACTTCCGTGTGCACTCGTGACTGCGCCCGCGCCGCGGCGAAAATTCGTCGCAACATTTAACATATGGTTTATTTACATTACGATCGAATAGGATTCAAAAATAAACACATTGTCACATTGATATCTATCTCTACACAATAGAGTACACGTTTCTATGAAAAATAATATTGTAATTTTTTTTTATTGATATAAACGTATATTCTTAACGAAAATTGTTTAAAAAGCCTTTTTAAGCATTTTTCATTAAAATATTTTCCACTACAGCATTGTGAATGCGATATTGATCAAATACAAACTTATAAGTATGTTACTTTAAGGAGTACTATCAATTCAATACCTATGCAATGTACAGTTTTAGAATCTCCGATAGCAATGTGAATTGACTTTTACTCTGCATATACATATGTGCGCCTACTTACAGAGGCGCTGCGAGGAATTCTGTTGTGTTTGAAAAAAAGATAAATTATATTTTTTTACAAATGGTGCTACTGTTTTATGTTTAAGTCAATGATAGCTTGATCGCTGTTATACTGCCATTGTAGATATATTACGAGGAGTAACGGTGTACGCGACGCGTTGAAAACGTGCGCCCATATCATACTATCGTTCGACTTAGTGTATAGTGAACATCACCAATCCACAAAATACGATAAATTTAGATGTAGTTTAGCTTTTGTAACTTGCAAAATGATGTTGTCGAGAATTATATCACAATTGTAACGGTCGTTTTGCGATCGTCGGTCGTGTTGCGATGCGTGCCACCCGGCGTTTCATTATTAAATTTCTAAATCTAATTTTTAGTAGGTATGTTAAACTTTGTTTACTTTCATATAACAATTATATTGTAAATAAAAATAAAAGCTTTGGATTTGCGCATTGGTTTGATTATTTTATCATTATTCCGCTGCCTTGTTACTACATATTCACTCTGCTTTTACTATAAAAATGCTGTTAAAAGACAGTTTTTGAAATCTTTTATATAGTTACCACAATAGTATTACAAAGTAATAAAAAAAAGCAGAGAACATTGTTTTTTTTTTGGTGCGCACACTAAAATTATTGCGCCACAGAAACCTGTAAAGGTTTATATGTATAAAACAGGACTACGCGGGCGGAAAGCCAGTTGAATATTAAATTGCTGACACCTATCCAAAAAATAAGTTGATTACTAACTATAGATCAATTTTATTTTTATAGTATAGAGACGAGTTATGATTTTATGAAATACGCTCTCTACCGTCTAGGGACATTACAACGATTCAAGTAAATCATAAGTTTAAGTAGAACTTTAAGTCTTAATTACAAAATTGGAAAAAAGAAACATGTTCAACTGTGATTGTATTATAGAGTGGATTTTAATAATAACAATAGTTTTATAAATGTTCTTTATTTTACATCATTTACCAAACAAACACATTAATATATGCATTAACTTTTAACTTCTAACATTAAAAATGCAACTTATAAACATACATTTTCATTCAATAATGAAACGCAACACAACACAGCACGTTTATGGCTCATTTACATAAGTCGATGGAGTCTGTATGCGGAGTGAGAGCGATTTCCAATTCATTTATCGATGACGTTCACGTGAGGGTTGCGTGTGGCTCGCTTTCATTGGTCGTTCATTAAAAATCGACCAATGAGACTCCTTCGACCAATGTAAATTAACAATTAGTCCCGCAGTGATTCAATCTTGGAGCCTTACTATGACCGATAAATTATGTTTTTTTTTTAAATGACCTTATTGAAGTGCTCCTGCAATACAGCAAAACATTGAGCCATGAAAAATAAAGGAATTCAAATCGTTACTAGCCGGATCCGTACAACAGTCGTGTGATCCAAGGTGCATGTGAAATTAACGGTAAAAAATAATGTATCAAAACTATTTAATGCCACTAATTTCGTAATCTAAATTCGGCTTTATTAATTTCATTAATTAATATTAATTGATCCATTTTTTACATCCTTATTAAAAAAGGATAGATTTAGAAAATTACCTTTTCAATATTTTCTATAAACACCTTAATCAATTATTTCTTTTCTCAATTTAAATGGGATTATTAAGTACAACATAGATAGTGTTTAAATACATTATGGTTATTGAGGTCCCTTATATACACCTATTTTATTTCATTTCCTGATGCCTAATGCCTTATAGTAAAAAATATTTAAAGAATTTATATAAGAAAGAAAGAACTAAAGAATATATGTAATATAATGTATTAATATACTAACATAATGCTGTCTATGGCGGTAACTGAAGTCAACAATAGGCTCAATTTAATAGTAGTTGGCATCTAGCGCGATAAAGGGCAAACGTATTGTTAACCACAATTGTATCGATGGTATGGAGATAGTACTATAGATACGATTGCTTCCAATTAATAGAAATATTTGAGGTATCGATATATTTAATCGATATCTTTATTTTCTAATTTTGAAAGTCAACTAGCCGTAGTAACTTATAATTTAATTCATTTAAATATTCACAAGGGATACCAGACACTGTGCTTACTTATACTATTTGAGGTTGATTTTCTAGGGCATAACTTTCTATTAGTGTTAAGGTGTTTAATTTTAAAAGGATTAACACTATACAAGCTTGACGAAACAGATTTTTTTTCATATTCCGATGAATATTTTTTATATGTAATAAGGGTGAAAGGGCGATTTTTTTATAATTTTATTTTATAGATATACTTGAAATATATTTAAAAAATATCTCTCAGTTCAAAATTTCCCGCTAATATCTATCATGGCGTCGATGACACGTCACAGCTCTATGAAATTAACTTAAACAATAACAGCAAACATTGTTCTATGTATCATCATCATCATCATCATCATCATCATCAACAGCCCTTTTACGTCCCCACTGCAGGGGTTCAGGTTCTGTGTATATCAAAGTCAAATTTATGACATCTTTAGAAGGCTGTGACGTCACGCGCTGTTTATATTCGTGTGCGAACGAGTATCAAATAAGTGTTTTTTCATAATTAATTTAAATAATATTATAAATAAAATAAACATTGTAGCGTGATTATCGGTAAAAGCATGTTTATACAGAAAAAAATATCTTTATTTTCATTTACTGTCTACACCAGTATTGAGGCAATAATATTTTATACTGTAACTGGAGTATGTACCAATTTATTGATGATCTAATGATTTATTTTTATTTTGCAGTCTCTAACTTACAAACAGAATTTAGATATGATCTCACAGTTAATTTCGTCATTTAGGTGGTGATCTCCCATTCACAATAGTAGCACAGTTCTTCCAAGATTTACCTTTTGGTTTTGTAGTTGTCACTTTCTTTTTGACAATTCTCTTTACTGTAACTTTTTCATCTGAAAGCAACCTTTTCTTTGGTTTAACTTTTTCCCCCTCAATCGTAAATGAATCATCGAATATATCTCCACTTGAGTTAACAGATTCGTTCTCTTTTGATAATTTTAAAGGCTTTTTATCACCAATGATTTCACATATAGGACTGTCAAATGAAACCTGTCTGGGACTACGTTTTGGTCTTTCAACTGATGTTTGTGTTGCAATGTTTGCATGATTTTTTTTAGCTGGTGGTGTAGCTTTTGGTGTTAATTTGGTTTTCTTTACTTTTACAACTACCAAAGGTTCAGATGATTTCCTCTTATTTTTACTTTTAACAATTTTAGCACTTTCCACACTCACATCAGGCTCTTCATTCTCACAATTTTCTATTTCCAGAGGTGTCTCATTTGTTTTAGCTTTTCTGCCTCTTTTTACCAATTTTGTAGTTTCGCCATTTTCTTTTCTTTTCTTGGTTTCCTTCGAATCGTCTTCACAATTGTCTTTGTTGTCAGTATCATGGTTTTGTTTCGCTGCTTTTCCTCGCTTTCCTGGTGAGAAATCTAATTTACTAGTTCTAGATTTACCTTCACTTTTGAGGAAGTTATCGAACAATATGCGACATTTAGTGTAGTCAGGAACATCTTTGGGTTTCAATGTATTAATGTACTCCAAAAATTTTATCAGAGCATCTGAAATCAAAGAATCAATAAAGCAAAAGAAATATAATTTTTAGGTGATAAACTGAACAAAACGATTAGAACTAACCAGGTACATTACTGTATTGCTTTGTGATGTTACTTCTGACATTTTTCATGAAAGATTCCTTCATGTCTTGTACTGTCTTCGGCTGTTTCAAATTCTTCTCCCATGGCAATTCTCCAATGAGCCATTGCAGCATGTTGTATCCCAATATCTCTAGATCACCTCTCATTGTGGGGACTGAAACACAAGGTGATTTTATATTTCATATGTCCACTAGGTTTTGGCGTCTCATCGATCGATCTTCGGGGTTTTTAACCGGTGGTCCCCAGACCATCGGTGGTCACTGCAAGCATTCAAAATGGTCAATGGAGCAGGGATATGTTGTTAATATTTTTTGTAAAACAACAAGTGAACAGACCGTAAAGTGTTTCTATGTTCCGCTCTAAATATATAAAAAAACCCTGACCATTCATCAAAATTTATCTGATCAATAATATCTTTTGAAATGAAAACATTTTATATGTTAAATGTTTCAGGTACTATCTGATTTAAATCAGCTAATACTTGTCTACTAAAAATACACACTCACTACTAATATACACACACACACACACACGCGCGCACGCACACACACACACACACACACAGGCGCGCACACGCGCACACGCACACACGTACACACACACACACACACACGAATGTTTTTAGTAGCTTCAAGAACGCTTCCAATCAGATTTGGATTCGACGAGAAATCTTTCTCGTGATAAAAAAAAACGAAAAGAAAGAGGGGCACTGGTTTTGGATTTGTGCAGTCATTAGTATTGGCATAGATTTCATCTATCGAGATCTTTCAAGCATCTATAGAGCTTGATATTAATATTCAATGTATTCAAACATGAAATTAAACATAGAAGTTTAAAGTATAGAAGTGATGTTGTTGAAGAAACCGTAAAGCAATCGTCAGGCTTGATATTCAGTCGAAAAGAAATGCTAAGTTCACAAGGGTTGTTAAAATTGGCACTTTATATCAAAATAACAGATAAGAATCTGAATTAAAAAAGTCAGGTCTTAACACAGTTTAAATTGAATACGTTTCCAAGTACACATTAAACTTGATCATGAATGTTTATTCATGATCAATTTGCTCCATTTAAAATCAAAAAGTAAGAATGAATTTGTTATAAAGATCTTATATCTTTTCTTGACTTTAGGGTACCTAAATTTTTCCCTGGGCATCTTTTACTTCCCTGCCTTTTTCAGACTTTCCCTGATTTCCAGGACATGCTAATACTGTAATGTTGCTTAAATAAAGATAAGACATAATCACCTCCTAAGTGAGCATCTCTACTAGTGTATTCAATAGTTCCATTGTGTGCCGATTTAGGGTCAGGCTTGAATTCCTTGTCGCTGACACGTGTTGCCAGACCAAAGTCCACAAGATAAGCCTGATTCTCTGTACCTTTGCGGAGACCCATAAGGATGTTGGCACCTTTAATATCTGCATGTACGTAGCCTCGGCCATGTATGTACTCAAGAACATCTAGCTAAAATATATATCAGAGTATATTTTTTTAAACTGTCAAATATATAAACAAATTAGAGAAAGCAGTAAATGTGATAAATGGTTTGATTAATATTTTACAAATAAAAAAGGAATAGAGACTAGTAATGATAACTGACAAAAATAGATCATCATTGCATCATTAAATATTACTCTGTCAAGAAAGTACCGGGAAAAGATCAATAATACACAAACTGTTTGTTATTCATCCAAATCTATTTTATCACCTTCAAAGTTTGCTCCTTCAGAAACGATACACTCAAAACATTTTTGAAACGCTGTTTCCGGAATCGAGTTCAGTTCTCGCCGCGAATTCTCCATTGTCTTTTACCGATTGAAAACCGGTGCCACGAAGTGGTAATTTGAATTTAGGAATAAGAAATCAGCCAGCTGGAGCTATATCTTGTGAATATGGTGGTTGCTTGATGGTATTTGTTGTGTTTGCACAAAAATTCGTTCATAATGGTGGCCTTGTGCGAAGGCTCATTATCGTGATGCAAAATCCAAGAATTTTCTTTCCACAAATTAGGCTTTTTTCGTCGAATTTGCTCTCTTAAACGCCGCATAAAATACTCGGAATTCTTGCCGGAAAATCAAACTGTAAATAAGTCATATTTATTTACAGTTTGATTTTCCGGCAAGAATTCCGAGTGCCTAACACCGCGATAGTTAAAGAAAACAGTCAACATGACTTGAACTTTAAACGACTTTGGCGTGGATATTACGGTTTCGCTTCAGTTGGAAGGCGCCACTCCGAAGCTTGTTGACTGATTTTCATATCAAACTCGTAAACCCAAGTCTTGTCACCAATAAAAATGCCTTTCATGAATGTTGGGTCGGACTTTACTCGTTCTAGCATGTCCTCAGCGACTCTCATACGATTGAGTTTATGGAGAAAATTCAGGTCTTTGGGAGCCGAGCGGCAACATATTTTATACCTAAATGATTATTTAAAATGGTACGAATCGACTTGTGAGTTACACAAAGTTCGGCGGCTAACTGTCTCAAAGTTGAATGAGAATTTTCAGTGACTTTTTTTCACTTTTGCGATGTTAACTTCAGACATTGATGACCTATCAGAGGGAGGCAAATCTTCCATCACATCTCGACCGCTTTTGAACGCTTTGCACCACTCATAAGCACGAGTTTTTGATGAAGTCGATTTAAAGTAAGCCTTCTATAACATTTTCAATGACTCCGAACACGAAATTCCATTGGCGATGCAAAATTTAAGACAAACTCTTTGTTCGATGTTTTTGTGTATTATAAAATTCACAATACACACTTGATATGATATAACTAAAAACAGTACTGTATTTAATATAAATAACATATGCAACTAAAACTCCGCGTCAAAATGTAAAACAGTTGTGCCAATCTAACAACTACAAAAAAAAATTGAATTTGGAACCATAATTAAAAAATCCATTCCAGATACTTTTTCGACTGAATGTACATTACATATGAAATTTAATAAAAAAAATATATATATATATGAGTAGTTAAAAGGTTAAAAAACTATACTGACTATATAAAGTAAATTATACCTCCTTACCATTTGCAAACCGAGTTGAAATACAGTTGCAGGTGGAAACAATCTACCATTTTCCTTGAACAGACTCCAAATATCTTTGCCATATCTTTCCAATACCAAATATCTATATTTTTCTCCTTTGTATTCATGAGATCCATTCCCAAAGTAAGAAGGCATTCCAAAAGAACTAAGTTTCTTAGTTTTAATAAATTTAGCAACTAAAAATTTATGATATTGTGATTAATCATTGCATAAGACATACATTTATTCTCTTTATTTCTTTAAGACTTGTGGTGTATCCCAAGTTTGGAAAGTTTTGTAAGATGGGTCTGAACTAAATCAACTTTGCAAACCACTGATCTAGGAAACTTCCATATTTAGCTTTATACTGTATTAATTTTATAAAGAGTATGCAGTATATTTATAACTTGTTTGCTGTAAAATTCAGACATTTCATGCTTTGATCTAAGATGTCACAAATATAATGTAGCATATGAACCTACTATATGTATTTTCAGTTTTTTAATATTAGGGGCATTTTACGTCAATTGGCCAACAAAAATAAAGTAAGTTCGTAAAATTTTTTCATACTCTAGTGGACATAGATGTGCCCACAACATTTTTTAATTGGCTGCAGCTTTTTTGCAGAGTTATGGGCTTTTAAAAATTCATACAAGCTATCACTGTTCCAGGACCTATAAAATTTCATGCTTTTCTTCCTATCAATGAAGGTCTATGTGTAAAATAACAAGTGCTAGTACAAATAGTAAAATTGTAAAAATTACTAATAAAGCTTTTAATTGTAATTAATGCAATTATGTCAATCTCAATAATTGAAACTGTATCTGTTCTCTTTGTGTTCATACTAAATAGTGTTATTAAGGGTTTGTAATTATCAAGATAATTATATTGTTTGGATAATTATCCGATAAATATCTGATAATTATTACTGGCAACAATTTTTTAAATACATAATACTCATAAATGAGTAAACTTTATATTTTTGTTTTAAATAATAAAAATTATACTAACAAAAAAAATGAACTGTGAAAATATAAATAAAAAAAAGAATAATTAAAATAAAATGGGGGCACATAATTTTTTTTTTATTTTGTAGGTCCATTCTAGATAATTTTCTCCGTCAGAAAAACCATATTTTATAATTGTTTAAAGAAACTCCCTGTTAAAACAAGTCCCTAAATATAAAAAGAGTTTATGTAGTGTTTTATAATCATCAAGTTAAATTTATCAAGATAATTATATCAATGACAATTATCACTCGGAACCCTGGTGTTACTAGAACTACTTTTAGCAGTCTATTCATATATTGCAGTGATTAATACCTATTCTTTTTTAGTGACAAAGAAATACTTCATACTAAAAATTTTGTAAATTGTTCTTAAATAAATCTAAGAAACTAGTACAGAATGTGGCACACATTGCAATGTGTATGTTTTCAATTTGCTGTAACTCCTTAAGTATTGGCAGTCACATTTTATTTTTTTTCATGAAAAATAAATACATGTAAAGCTTTAATTAAGAACTGAAATATAAAAACCAAATTATGTCAAAGTTGCTTAAAAAATTCAAATTTGGAATGCAATAAAAAAAACCCAGATGTTTTCTACTTGGCGAAACTGTTTTTGATTTTTTTTGAGAATTTATTGATACAAATAATAAGAGTCCTAAATGAAGGGTCTTCATAAGACATTAATTTTTTAAAGGTCAGAACTTGGCAATTAGGCAATATACGATAAAAATGGTGTGAGCATACCAATGTCCACTAGAAGTCAAACTTACCAGAGTATGAATAAATTTCACAACCTCACTTTATATTTTGTTGTCTGCTTGACATGAAATGTCCCAATAGATAGTTTAATAATTTTAAAAAAGCTTTTAACTTACTTAATGTAACAAATTTCAACTCAATCTGTTCAGCAATTTCTGAGCAAATAAGATAAGCTAGAAGGACAGACAATATAACAATAATCTGTTAAGGCAGAAGTTCTTAACTTTTTTGGTTGACATCCTAAAATATATTTGATGTTTTATTGTTTAATTTATCTTTGAAGTTAAGGACAATTAAAAGTATGTGATTCGCTCAAATTGTTATGATTATAAAATATATACATTCTGAGGCAAAATTACAATGATTACAGCATATTTAAATAAAAATAAAACCTATAAGAAGACTGCGTCACTGTTTTACAGTTACCTTTTATTGTAGATAATATATAATCATTGATTACAAGTATCATGGAAGATATTTTTTATTAAGACTGTATGACATAAAATTAGACAGAAGGTCTTTCTAAGCTTTTTCCTTCTTTCCATAGATTGTGAAACCAATGGTCTTTTTAAGTGACCGTTAAGCCTACTGAATGATATTAAATATGGATCTTTAATATTCTCAATAAAAAATGGTTAAAACATCTACTTTGTCCTCCACCGCCCCTTTTACAATCCAGGCAACTACACTAACCGCTGAGCTACCCAGGACCTAACAGGACTGACAATTTTTTCAAGCACTTGTTCGAAACCCGAATCGAAAGAATATTTTTCGGTATAGCATTGTGGATGCAAAATTGATTAAATATAATAATCTTTAATTTATTTATATGTAATAAAACTTATTACTCACTATCCTCCTTATTTGCATTTCTTATATAAAAATGCTTCTCAACAAATAATGGGCCATTTTCATGGGGTTCCTGAAACACACTCTTAATTTATAAACCAAAATTAAAGTAACTCCAAAAATGATGTAAACTTAAAGGTTGTATTGTATGTAGTAATCAGTTTGAATTGGGTGTACATTTGTTTCATATTTAAGTACGTTGAGCGTTTTAGATACCGTAAATTAATGTACTTACTATTTTTACTACAAAAGGAAAGTTACTCTCTTTCTTTGGTGAGCCTTCATGGTTGCAAGCCGAATATATTTCACCGAAACCGCCAACGCCGATAGAAGGACCTATTCGCCACTTTTTCTTTGCTATTGTATCGTGGATAACTTCTCCGATAGGGATAGGGGCTGGCATCTTATATCCATTGGTATTTTTCTTTGGAGCTCCTACTTTTTTACCTTTACCAGCCATTCTTAATAAACAATAAAAGGATTAATAGAAAACAATATCTATTAATCTAGTCACTATCAAAATATTTATAAGTTAAAAATTACATATTATGAATTCAAAACATACTTATTTATTATTTGTACACAAATTACAAACGTTTCATCTAGTTTACCGACACAGACTTAGTAGGTATCAGACGACCAACTTCCTAACAAAAAATTTCTTCGTAGAACGTGATTGGGAGCCAGTGATACATGACAGCTTCATTCGTTTTAAATATATAGATTTAGTATGGGCAAAGGCATTTAGCTATACAGCCCTGTTTTGGGTAGGTACCTAGCCGTCTTCCTAGTTTCCACATTATTTTTACTTTAATTTAAATTCCTTTTTTGTTTTAATACAACAATAACAATAAAGCAGACTGATAAATCTAGCTTATTATTATTGTTGTATTAAAACAAAAAAGGAAAAACGAACACGTAAATGAAACATACATTTTTCCAATATTATTTATTGAATAATTTATTTTTTAACTTATTATATTTTTCACAGCTTTCTTCTGCATTCTCGGCAATTCTTAGCTACGTTTTTTTAGTGGCACAACCTTATGAAACTTTTCAAGGTAATCACATTTTTTTTAAAGAGGGCACTGATATTTGCATACCTTTTTATATACATATTTAAGGTTTTCTAAAATTTCAGTTGCCTTTGGCCAGAAAGAATGATGCTCTTTTCCTTTATGCTTCTTTTGTTTATCGATGCTCCATTGACACTATCAAATAATTGGTCAAAGAATGAAACAACTTCAGCTGTATTTCTTAATGTTGTACTGACGGGCCTGCCATCCACATAAGTTGCTGCAAATTAAAATATTCATATAATAATTGTATGAAACTTGATTCAAAACTATTAACTGTTAGTAAATTTCATCTAATACTCACAGAAATTTGCAGTGTAAGACAAAGCTGCAGACATATTTTTACACAATTTTTTACCTGCAAAAAGAGATATCATGTTTAAAATTATCTTCATTAGAGAATCATTATTGTGATTTAAGTGTAAACTATATTAACTACTTGTTACATAATTAAAAATACAGGTCATTGAATCAACACTTGCTCTGATAGAGAATATAGAAGCTGAATACAAATTATTCCTTTTATTTATACTAATTGAAGTTATACTAATATAATAACCAATGCATTACCTTCATCATTTTATCAGGTATAACTTATTGGTCATTTAATTTATGACGTAGCCCAGCTTCAGTGTGTTGACAATCTGTCTCATAGACATAAATAATATCATGCCATTTTGCAAGTTTACTATCCAATATTAAATTTTTTGTTAAAAAATTGTTCCTGATACATTTTATCAAGTGTGTTGAATCATAATGTTCAAATCCACCCCACATATTTTAAGAATCCAACTGAAACAAAAATTTAAGAACTTCTTAAAACATAGATAACAATATAAAAATAAGAACCTTCACTACTTTCATTAAATCTATTAGTTTTCTTTCATATAAATATAATTCTCTGTACCAACCTGTGATTTCAATTTAAAATTTGATTACACTAAGTGTCTTCTTTTAGATTTTTGAGTGCTGATTGGAAAGCTGAGCCTTGGTCATATATTATTGCGATGGGATTAAGGTCCAATTCAACAACTTTTTCTACTACTAACTTTAAAATATTCTTGATGTACAGTAGATGTCGCTCCTTGACAGAAATACTAACATAAAGGCTGTTGCCACTTGTAAATAGCACCAACATAAATACAAGAGTATGATCTGCAAAATCCACTTTCTTTTCTTGGTGTTCTACAAATCCATTAATATTATCTTTAATCCTTATTACTTTTATTATATGAAAGCGCTTTTTCTAATGACATCTCATCAAATATGATGGAGCATATTTTTTTGGAGTTTCATTTGTCCACCTGAAAAAGTAAATTCAAATAGGTAGCATATTATTATTTTGTAGTAATACAAAAAATTATAAAAGTAGTATGAAAAACCTTATATGGAATATATTTACCTCTTACATGAAGCCTGGTTCTATGATCAATTTTCTAATCATAGTATTCAGTGTAGTTTTGGATGATAAAATAAAAAATTTTGCTTAAAAATCAATAACACTTTGGACTCTGCTTTGATATTGATAAAGCAATTATCTTTTCTTCGGTAGTGAATCACCTCTCATGTTTATTTTTAGAGCACATGCTCACTTGAATTTCAAAAACATTTTTGCAACTGTGTTCATTTTTTGTCGGAACTTTTCAAATGATAACTTTTTACAATACTTAAAGGTATTTAAGTATTCTTAACTTTATGATAAAAGTTCAACTACGTATTTGGCTTGTTATATTCTTCATAAATTCTCTGGTATAAAGGTGACAATTGGCTTTATTTGGTAATAAGCCTTTTCCTTTTTGTTTGGGTACATTTCACAGGGTCTGTAACATCAAAAGTATTCAGTGAATTTCTCTATTAGAACTACTATTTGATTGAAATAAAGATACACTAAAGAAAGAGACAGGTCTTACCAGATAATTTAGTTTGTGTCATATTTTAATCTCCAGAGCAAGCAACTAATTGTGTAAACTCAGTGGCTGCAGACACAGGAGTCTCAATTTGTTCTTTTAAAATTACACCACCTATGAAATCAATATTGATTATGTGTGTAAGATTAAAAAACAGGATATAATCTTAGATGATATTAGAAATATGTTATTTATATTATCAATTTATTCTCTGATCAAAATCACTTCTAGCGTGCCCGCTAGAGTTAAGTAACTTAATGTAATTTTTCTTTATGTGTGTAAGAAATAGAGATCTACTAGACTTTTTTAAAGCAAAAATCTATATTAAAATACACCAAAACTGCTGCTAAAATACACAAAGTTCATACTTTGTTATCTAAATAAAATAAATTAAAAACAAACCTCTGTTCAGTTCCACTTTCTAATATGTGTGGTCAACATGACTTTTTCTTGCATAGCTGTGTTCCCAAGTGAATATAATTTCTGTAATAAAAAAAAATCTAATGAAGAATAGAGGTATTCCAAAACACAACATAAAGTGAAGATACATATCATTTTAATTACATTATCTAAAGGCAATAGCAGATTAAACCAGCCTTACCAGTATTGCTTGAAGAGGGTAGGCTGATTGAGAGCCCATCATCAATAAACAATGACGGATATGCATCACCCAAGAGTCATGATTTTGGAGTGATGAATCTTGGTACAACGTGTTTGCTACAAATGATACTTCTGCCTGGATTAAAATTTTCAGTATCACACACAGCACTAAGACATTGTAAACACTTGGAGAATCTTTTCTCGTTCACTAGAATCTTATAAAGAATAGCGTCCTGTTCGTACTTTAACAATGCGTGTAACACAACCATAAGACACCAATTTCTTAGGCATCTTCTACAAATAAAAATACTTCGAAAAATGGAGAGTTTATATTACAAATAAAGCGAAGACGGTAAGCACAAAATAGACTTTACTCAATCACTTGTAATTTCCTGATATGTACGTACATACTTTAGTCTTCTTCTTCTTTTATTAATGGCATATCTGCACATTTCACACAATTTTGCCAATGTGAAATGAATAAATTAATTCCAACATGTAAAATGAATTAAAGATTGATTAAAACATTACTATCTTTACTCTTTGTTGTAATGACAGTTTCTGTCAGGTGTCATGTCTCCATCTACTGACAGGGGTGAGGGGCGTGAGGAAATGTCATACATCACTGGACCCCTACGCGATTGGTTTATTGTATGGAGTTGACGGGCCGTGTTTACCGATCTCTTACCACAGAACAATAATAATACCACAGACTAGTAATATGTAACGAGCTGAGCTAAGAGTATGAGTATAAGTAGTATTGACCGAGGCTATTAAGAAACCACCGTTTAAGCCCAGACCAAGAAAGAGATTTATCATCTATCAAGCTAGCTTACAAAATACATATTTAGAGTATTAAATAGTAATAAATTTTATGAAAGTATGGCAAATAATGTCGGATACCTAGAGTAATTTCTTTTTAATTACTGGCATTACCCTTTTCAATTTCGCTTTCAGTGTTTTTTCTTAGTTTGTCTATGCTTCTTCATTGCCGAACATTTTGTTTAGCTATGTTGCCGCTAAAAAAATTATATACGACTGCTGCCGCTAGTTTTTAAGTTTTGCTAGAGGTCCATCTTGGTGTTTTTATAAATTGTTCTTTGACTTACGTTTAATATTTGTTCATAATTAATGAAGGAAATGTAATCCAGATTTTATAGTTTTGAAAAAAATTCACTAGAAATAAGATTTTGGTAGGGGGGAGTGATAACAGATCCGGTTTGGATTTAGTACAGGATTTCAGAAAAACTGTGAATCGATATCTATTAATCTCAGACTGAGTACAGGGTATTCATTCAGTATACTTCAAGAAATATTTTTGCTATAACATCCGGAATTGATGTTGGGTCTTAAAATACAGTTGCTATTTTCTCTAGTATTGACTTTTGATCAAAAAGCTTGATACTTGATGTTTTGCCCTTCCTGTAAATAGCTAAGGTTGTATCACACCCACTGAAAATATGCAGAAAAAGCATACAACAACAAAATCGATAGAATAAAAAAAATTAAAACAAATAATAATGGGTATATTAAACCTGAAGCTCAGGTTTCCGAGAATGACAAGGTCTTTTACCCACGCTGAGCATCCGGTTTAATAATATCTTTATGTATTACTAGCTTAACCATCCATAAGGAAGGCCTGAGCCCCTGCAGTGGGGACGTAAAAGGGCTGGTGATGATTACTAGCTAACCTGGCAAACCTAGTTCGGAATTCGAACTTCGGATGTCTACCCAGAGCTTTGCGTAACTTTCTCTATTACTAGTGTCGCGTAATATTTTCATCATCTTCGTTCTGATACCTATGCACCAAACCTAAATATTCACATCTGATCTTCGGTATATATTTGATTATTATTGCTTATTTAACTATACATTTTAGTGTATTTCAAGAAGCCTAGAACGAATATTTTCAAATAAAAATGTATGACACGAAAACATGTTCAAATATCACGTTTAATTTTAACAAAAAGTTTTTACCTTTCATACATCCTTAGTTTTATTAACCTATATATTTGTTTTATTTCCTCGCAAAAAGCATTGAAAAATGTTGTAAGAAACTTGAGCGTAAAAGGTTTTTCGAATTCGTGCCAATGAAAACGCTCGCTACGCTCGTGTTTTCAATTTGGCCCATATTCGTAAAACCTTACTTTCCGCACTCGTATCTTAAATAACTATTATAGCCATTGCTATAGTTATTTATAACGATAGAGTTAGCAAGAACACTGCGTTAACAAGAAAACACGTGGTAGGAAGATTAAAAATAAACCAGATAATAACGATAAATTTATTATACTTCTCTAACAAAATAAATCAACGTTAACATCTCATTTTTACATTTTCACTAGCCTTACAATAAGTAACAATCTACCAATATTATTATTAATTTTACTAATTAAGAAAATTAAATAAATAACATTACAATATTAATTATAAAAAAAACGATTATTGTGTTTTGACTTAAAGTAAATAGATAAAAGTATTAAGTATCCTTTTAAATATATGAATATAACAAAATGATTGTTTGTAAATACAATTTCTTGTTTTTCATTAGCTAGGTAAATAAATTGAAGCTTTAAACAATAATTACACAATTCTTCACAAGATAACAAACGTGAAAAAGGTATTTATTTATTTATTGCTATAACTATATAAAAATCATTAAAATATAACTATAGTTGACGCAAATGAAAGTGTATAAAAATATTTAGGTGGGGTCTTAACTTTAATGTAAGTTCCAGCTTCCGGTAGTAGCGGAAATAGGACATTCCGAATTACCTGAAACAAAAATATTTTCACTATATAATCACATACATAATTATAATGCTGTTAGCTAAGTAGCTAACAGTAGCATACTCTGGCGCTAGTGCACCCAATCAAGAGTACGAAACGGCACAATTGCAAAGTCGATCAATGATGATTGCGTTCTAGAGTAAGGGGGCAGATCTGTAGAGATGCTATGATAATGATCGTTGCCCTCGGCCCTATGACGTGATTCAATCCCAGCCTAGGATCTACGATCTTTTTTTAGCGCCCTTCCTCTACTGCCCCTCTCTTCGTGGCAGATTTTATATTATCATATTTTTGCACTCTACGATTTTTACCTTTATTTCTATTCAGTTAAAAAAGACTTGACTGTAAGTAGGTATAAAATTATGATGATTTGTGTGCCCCCCTCCCCCCTAGATCTGGCCCTGCTTACTCTGCTCTACTTGAAAAACGGTTTATCTTACAGAAATATACATATTAGACTACCTTTCCGCCAGCGGCTTCGCCTGTTTGGACCTGTATTATGCATATAAACGTCCCGCTTGAATTACTATGTATATTGATTAAAACTGCATTTATCATATATCCGTTGTTTAGTTTAAAAGATCTCAACATACAGCCAGGGGGAAGTGGCTTTGTTTTATATTATGTATAGATTAGATGACGAATAATTCTTATGATGATCTTATTGACCTCCGATTTATAGGACGTGAGATATAAGCGAATAATTGATTAGTCAAAAAGTTTTCAGTAAATAACCTCAAAATAAACTGTCTTCATCCTCATCTTCGTACGCTGTCATCGAGTACCAATCCCTTGCCACATCTTCGTATATAATCCTTTTAACTTGCTCCCCATACTGTGGGTGGAGAACTCTAGGTGAGCGCGCGCGGAACTCTAGGGGCACGTCATAACACCGACAAACGCAGCAAGCGGGGAATTTAAACCAGTCTGAGAATATACCCCTGCACGGATTGTGAGGATCGAATGCCAGGAGACGGTGTAGCCGATAGTGCTGCTCACATCTGTAATGAAACATGCGTAGTTCTTTAAAGAATTAACGAATATCTACGATTACGATAACGCGAATCAGAATCTAAGGAGCAGCAAGCCGGTTAATTCTTGGAAGCCGTAAATTTAGGGGCGGCAGATTTGATATTGCGGGTATCGAGATCTCAGGAAAGTAACATAGGTGTAAATGTGAAAAATTTCAACAATGTACATATTTAACAATGTAGAATAGCAAGTTCAACTATTTTGGTGCGGGGAGGTGATCGGCTAAATAGCTCGTATGCTTTTACGTGGAAATACGAACAAAAGGGTAAGATGTAATCTGGGATATAAATAAAATATTTTGAATATTACCTAACTCACGACTCTACGAATGACGAAATGTGCGAATTTGAGGCGTTTCTTCAGAATCTGAATTCTAGGAGAATAGCAGGCAAAAAGAAAAGAGAATATTTTCCTAGTTGACCATCATCCAGTGGAGTGACACGTGAAGAGATTGGTTAATTGTTTCACTACAAAACTTGGGTTAGATGAAGTTACATAATCAATGATAATAGGAAAAATGTTAATTTTTGTATATGAAAATTGAAATTTAATAACCTGCATCCCTCGCGGCAATACATCTGCTTACGCTCATGTACGCAGGTTTCCAGATGGATGTACTGCTCATACGGATACATATTGACCAGCACTAGCTTCTCTCCACGGGTGTTATTCGCCCAAAATGGCGCCAGCAACTCTTCTTTTGTTTCGCACGCATTTCTGGAATCGAGGGCTGAGACGTTGTATCATTATTTAGCTTTAAAAAATAAACTGGGTTCTTAATCATTGATAGTGATCATTTAATATAAAACTTGCAAAATATACAAAATTACAACGTAAACCGGTGACTGTTCCCAAGTAAAAATGTAGTGGTGTCTAAACAATTTGTAAAGATTTTAATTTATTGAAAATAAAACTTTATGTATCAACAAAATGAATTTTATCAAAGCATAATTGTTTAAAAACACACTTACGCTCCTCGTAACTTAATAACTGAAGGACGTTTTTCTTGGAACTGGATGGGTTTTATGTTAGGTTGTTCTTCTTTTTTGGATTCTCCGCTTTTCGTGTCAACCCTGTCCGTTTTCCCCTTTTCGTGCTCTGAAAATAATGCAGTCGGCGGAAGAGTTGATGCATCTGGAACAGTGTTTATAGCTTTCCATCCATTCTTATCTGACCCCGGAGTTGAGTCGTAATACATTTCGGTAGTAGCCGAATCCGTAGCATTCACTAAAGTTTCTGTAGTCAGAGTAACATTTTTATTTGATGGTGTGCTATTTTTACTAAGACCAACAGTTTCAGCTTTAGTACTACTATCCGATTTATTAGGATACACACTATTTGTTTCTATACTTTGTTTTATCACTGCATCCAATGTTATAACATCTGCCTCTAGGTTATTAATCTCAATATGTGCTATACTTTCCAGTTGTGTTTTGTATGATATCTCCTTATCATCGTTGAGAGTTTGGTTACCATTTGTTTTATCACCGTTATTTACCCTGTTGAATTTTGTGTTATTGCCTTTAACGTCTAAAGGTTTAACTTTTAAGGACTCGTTTTCCACTTTTTTGTTTTTATCGTTGCTTTGGATAGGTCTGAAGTGAGGTTTGTCTTTCATGGCACGTCCCTGGCTTCGTTTTGTATATATTAGTTTAGTTTTGATAATGTCCTCCGCGAAGTCACTCGAATCCTCTACATCTTCATCGTCTTCTAGGAAATTGTCTAGTTCCGCTTTTAGCACTGATATATGCCGTTCTTCACCGTACATTCTTCTCATGAGCCCCTGAAATAAAAAAATAATTATATTAGCATACACATCTAGGATCGAAATTTGCGCCGTTATAAGAGATTGTGATATAGATTGCTTAGGAAAATCTTATTATGCCATTAGCATCATATTACCTGATTTTCCCTGACGAAACGTCTAATCGCCTGCCAGGGATAGTCGGATCCTGGAGTGGTGCAATATCCTTGCTTAGAGAGGTCACAGGGAGCATCTGGTGAGGCTCGAGCACGATTCGAACGGTACGGTCGCGTGCACGCTGATGCAAAATCATAGCCATCGCTGAGGCCTGTTGTCCATGTCACCTGAAAGCATAAAAACCAAGAACTTTTTATTCAGCATCATAATGAAGTAACAACAGCTATTTAAGAGGTTATGAATTGAGATTTGGTAATGATGTTGAATAATTCCATCACAACATAATTAGGCGGAGGGGGCCTCTTATCCTGGGGGTCTCTAAATGGCTTCAAGTACCCTTGATCAAATCATAAATTGGGGTTGTACTGCCTATCTTGCTTATGTCCAGTCTCGTAGTTTTAGCAGGCGTCTGAACAGGGGAGGGTGGGTGTAAACGGAATATCAAGTTTCTGCAGTGATAACGACTGCCTTACGAATGACAGAGGAGCGCGAGATAATAAATTTGTGATATCCACCCATCCTTACGAAAATTGCTAAACTTCCGCAGAGCGAACTCACTGACGGCGCCAGCGATTCAGTGCGTTATTATACTTACGGACATGTTTATATTATACACATCCCATATTGAATATCTAGAAAAGAATAGGAGAGGAGAGAAACCATATCATTGAGTGAAACCCATTCCGTTATGTTTATTTCAACAAATTCAAACGTTCGTCGTATTGTTACTTCAATTGTATGACCAAGAATTTTGGAATGCTGAACGAAAATATTCACCATTTATTCTTTTGTACTGAGTGAAAGCAAACTCGGCTCGTATTTTCAAAGGAACATTTTACCTAACCAAGTGTCGTAATAATTTACGTACAATAGATGTCATTGTTGTATTCGAAAAAAACGAATATTGAATTAGGTGGGTGTTTTCTGTGGAGTACAAGAGAATAACTGTTGCTTTCCTGTTATTATTGCTAAGTGTATTACCTATATTAAGTGTATTACCTAGAATGCCACGTTACATATGTGTGGTATGATTTTGATAAAGAAAGGATTTTGATCAAAATCTAAAACCCGGAAGGTGATGATTCATCATCATCATCAGCCCCTTTACGTCCCCACTGCAGGGGCTCAGGCCTTCCTTATGGATGGTTAAGGAATATGAGCCATGACCCTCCACACTAGCCCAATGCGGATTGGAGGGTAGGTGATGATTAGGTGATGATAATTAATCCAGTTTTTTAATAAAAACGACAAGGTTTATGATACGATTTTTATTCGTAACGCAATAGAATGAAATTGTTATTTCACCTAAAATCAACTGAAACGTGATGATGCTTTTTATTCATTTTATTTCTTCCAACTGCCTATAATTCACTATTTTAAGTCACGTGATAGGTTAAGTATATAAAGACGTATGCTGTGCGATCTTCTTTAATTTCAAGGTTTTTACATAATATTACGTTAACGTTACAACAATCCTATCTATTTCAGCAAATTATTAGATTTGATAGATAATAAATCAATTTTATATTGTATTTTTATAAAAAAATGGAATTAATAGAATTTTTTCACAAAATGACGTGAATTCGGAAAAATTAGTGAATTCGAATTTGGGTTCGGATTTTTACCGAATCGCTCTGCCGTCTCTAATTTACAGGTTGGAGGCCATGTCAACTTTTTTGACCATTTGACATCAATTAACAGCCATGTCAACTTTAAAGACCTTTAACTTCTTGTCATTTTTGTATTATGAGGTTTAGCTTTCTTGTAATCCCTTTTTGGGAAGACAGATAATGAAAATTCATTGATACGTTCGTAAAATTACAAATTCTTTCTTCATTTTGGTAATATAGGTGATTTTTTCCAGTTGACAGGTTTCCCTTAATATGTCCTCTACCGCCCGTAACCCTGATATCAGCATAAATTTTCAAAGGGGAAATTAGGTCAATAAATTACGAAAGGAAAAATTATAATGTCTTATAGTTTCAAATCAGGTTTAAATCAATATTCTAACTGTTGTAAGTCTTCTTTTTACGCCTCTGTCTTAGAAATCAAAATAATAAAGAACACAATGAATCAACATTTTTAATAAAAATAAAGAAGGTAACTTTGAACAAAGTTGTCATAAATAATTCTGATATTATGTAGAATCTGCTAAGTAAATGCATTAAACAGTGATTGGTTTTGAGGTCAAAATTTTAGTGTTTGAGAGACACTTGTGTGCTCTTAAAATAATAAGTCTTTGACACTAAAATCACGCCTAAAAAAGAAAAAATGCCGTTAGGTATTTCATTTGAAGACTGGAAAGACGCGAAGAAAGAAACAATAATTGAACATAATGAAAAGAAAGTAAAGAAAAACTGGAAAGGATAATAAAAACGAATGAGTCAAACAAAATAAAAGTAGTAAAGTAGAGATCATTAAAGGCATATGTTGGTATGAATTGCAATTATTCTTTTTATTTTATTAAATTACATTATTTTTTCACTTTGGTATAAATGAAATTTCCTTCAATAATGTACACATAATTACATAAGGATACTATTAGATGTGCTATTACGGTTGAAAAGAAAATCTAGTCTACAGCGGGTCAACCGCTGTTTACTGGCAACCGTGCTCTATAAGTCTTTCTTTCCTTTATTGGTGGGAACTCTAATATTTTTCTCGATTCTAAGAAAATATTTAAAAAAAATATTAGGTATTTTAAAGGTTGGTTAACGAATTTAAAAAATATCGTGTTATGTTGGATGGTTAATTAATCTTTAAATAAAAATCTTTGTTGGACTTCAAAAGTTTTCCCGTTTTTTAACCGATAGATGCCAATTGTTTATAGATTTCTTTTATCTTTAGTATATTACTAGCTTGTAATGTTGTATTGTAGTTACGGCTACTCGTTATGAATTAAGTGATGCATTATAATCATGGTTCATTCAACTTTCGTCTACTTGTTATTAACTTTCACTGATCTATCCCCATTTAGGCCGCGTTGATTTACTGCACGTAGTCTCAAACGTGTAAAATATATAAACTTCTTGCTCAAATGTCTATTGATAAAGTTTTTTTTTTTTAAATATTGCAAAAAAGAGTTTTACTCTGTATTTATGTTCCTTTATTTTTCCGTAAATAATTGATCGATTTTGATCTTGAATTTTTTTTTGTTACGAGTTATATGGGAAACTAATATCTCTAAGGTATATTTTTTTATTTTACGTCATATGTACTAGTTTTTTATACTTTAAAGGTTTATATGAGTCCACACTTCTTTATTATATTAAGTACATTTGCATGAATTGCAAAAAGATCGAACCCCTTTTTAGATATTTAAGTTTAACTTTAAATTTCTTTTCACCTTGTTTTATTTTAATTAAGAAAATAAAATAATCTTGCCAACTCTACATAGTTTTATTTTTGATTTGAAATTATTCTTAATCATGCTGCTAATCATTACTATTCATAATTTGTAAAATTAGTCATAAAATTTCTATTCAATAGGGATGATGACTAATTTTTGTTTGTTTGTCCGTCAGGTAGAGTGTTAAAAAATATTAAACACGTATTTTTTAATTTTTTTCGTAATCATAAAATTACGGCGTTACATTGAGTTGAAATTTCGCATGACGTCACGTTAGGGTACGTTTTCTACTGAACTGTGACGTAGCGAGCCCCCACTCCTCAACTTTAATGCCTGTTATCTAAGCTATTTCTTGTTAAATTGAAGTAAAAAAAATACGTATCTAATATTTTTCTATTATCTGACTGACGGACTAAATAGAATTGCATTTATTTTTACTCAGTCATCATCCCTATTTAAATGGTAAAGCTTGTCGTTGATTCAATATGCGGACAAATACATAATTTAACCTTTGTTTACTTTATTCCAACGTCCTTGGACATCTTTTTATATGTTCATAAGACTGCACCTACCACAATATGTCAGATTTCTGCAATGGTTTTGCAGAAATCTGCCCCTTTATCCCTAATAAAGGTTTAAAATCGAGTAAATAAATTCGACAGTTTTGAATAGACTGAAGTGTAGTTGACTGTTTAAGAGCGAACGTAAGATCTGCAACAGTTCTATAATTTGAATCCTTCTTACCGCTTAATATTAATAGAAAAGAATATAAAGCGTTTATTTGGCATAAAATAAAAAATGAAATAACATTACAGAGCATAAAAAACGAGTAATAAATTTTACAAACGGGCCTTTGCTCAGTATGATCCGAAGCAACATATAAAACAACATTTTAGTATAAAATTAAAATGAAAACAACATTTTAGTTTAAAAAGTTCGCATAAATTTTTAGTAATAATTATAGCATGAGTTTAGAAATGGCATCAGGCTGTGGCATTTCAGAGACAGCAATTATTATTTTGTAACATTTGACATAGTCTTCTGAGCAATCAATAAATTACTCTAGCACTTTACTTCAAATTTGTCCCATCACGAAGTAACTTTTTGTAAGTCTATATTATTTACTTTAGTTTTTCTATCACATCTACCGCTCTTTTACTACTAATTAATATGCATTCGACATAAGAAATTCATAATTTTACAACAAAGAGTGGTCTCAGTTACTTACCACTATAAATGATATTGAAACTACAAAAAAACTTACGCGAGTGATAGAAAAACATTTTCTTCTTCTTTTTTACCTGCTCCAAATGGACAGGAAGGAGTTGCTAGATTCAACAGAATCGTAGACCGACTTTAAAATTATTCTTATAATGATTTCTAACTAAGTTACAAATTAGGTAGATTTATATATATATTTTTAAATTTTACCTTTGATCACGGCTTAAGCAATTGCCGCAAAATACAGAACAGGAAGTTAATATCATCTCAATGAAAGTAACCATCAACTAAATGTCTTAATTAAATAAAAAAACAATAACGTTTTAGAATGTTAGACTGTTATTACATATCTTTTAAATATAAGGATAAATTCATATCTAGAGTAACGATAAACGATGAAACTTAAAACTCGTTTTTTTCTCATTTTCTGTATCTAGTTAAAAATAACTTTTTAGGTCTAACGACCTAATTGCATTTTTCCTAAGTCTTTATCATTTAAATTAAATATAATTCGTAGGTGCAAATTTCAAGACATGTTTTCACTTTTGCCGGTGCAACTTTCTACGCTCTCCTTACGGAAATCACGTAGGCGCCCGT